ATCTTGCATCTTCAACCCATACAGCCGCTACTTTAGATACAGTTTAGTCATTAAGGATTTAGATATAAACTAACTTTCCAATTTCTTTCAAATTTTATCTAGAGACGACATATGCATGATGTGATACATGACATCATCCGCCAAACAAAATCATATGGTTCCTACGCTCGCTGCCGCAATTCTTTTCAATCTTCTTCCTCCATCGATGTCGGCTTTGTAGGTCGCAAAGCCTTCAGGATCCCTTGCTGCGCCAACAAATCCTTCACCCTTGTTTGCCATAATCCAAAGTTACCCTTACCATCGAATTTCATAACTTCGAATTTGGCTCCTGACATCTTATACCAATTGTTGAATAATCGGGTAAAGAAAATGAAAAGAACATAAGAATTTTTAACGAGATTCAACAATGTGCTTACGTCCTCGGTGCCCTGGGCGGCGCTAGATTTATCATTCAATATCTCATAGGTTTTGGTTACATATCCTTTATAATAAATAAACCTTGGTACATATTTATGAGTCATACCTAATAATGTTTATGGGCCTCTATGACGTAAAAACAAAACCATCATCAGTTTTTATAATTTGGCCATTGGAATGGACAATTGTGAAAACTTTCTTAATTATTGTTTGAGAAAATTTGTTGCTACTTTAAGGAAGTTGTAAAAAGTAGTTGTTTTGTGAAGATTCAAATAACATAAGACAATTTAAAAGACCCTATCAAAATGTCATTTCTCTTTTCAGCGATATACCAACTCAATTCAGTGATATATTACCTCAATTCAATGAAGTATTTGACCATTGAATGTTGTTTTTGACCATTTTTAATATAAAACTTCATTTCTCAATGACCATTGAATGAACAATGACAAAACCTTTTCAGGGCCCAATCACTTTATCACTTCTGAACTTTTCAGTAATGTATCACTTCAATTCAGTGTATCAAACATTTTTAATGATGTTTTACCATTTTTAATGTTGTTTTACCATTTTTAATGAAAATATCTTTTTTCTTTTCGGTGACCATTGAATGATACATCAAACCCTATAATAATAATAATTATTCATAATAATTCAAAAATCCCTTTTATTTTTAGTGATATATCGCCTAATTTCTAAACTTGTTTATATATTTAATAATTCATCATACCCTATCATAATTATTTCAGCATAACTTTTCAGTGCTTATATAGTCATGCCTATATGAAACACACAATTTATTGTTCAAGTTCCTATTTCAAAAATTTCTATGGCAACAATTTCAACAACAATTTATTGTGAAGGGAAATTTTCACCATCTCCTTCGAGGGAGACATTCGACTTTTTGACTTGATGACGAAAATTTCAAACAAGGTTAGAGTTAATAAAGATTCAACACTTTCTTTACTATATTTCAAATTACCAACCTCTTTGGTTTCACAACATTCATCAATGGGTTATCTGAACAATGATGTTGCAGTTCAAACATTGATTGACACGTACATTATCAATTCACTGAGTAATATTGACTTATTTTTCGAGTATCACAAGCAAGTCGTAACTATTTCCACATCAAAAACAAAATCTCTAGACGTATCTAACAATATAAAAGCTGAACTTCAAGAACTTGAACTATTTATATATAGAAGGAAACAAGAGAAAGAATGAAGGAATGAAGAACTTAACATCTGACGAGTCAACTGACTATAAAAACTAAGATGTGGGGTAACCACTTAGTGCTTGTATTGTATTGTAATGCAATGTAGGAGTTAATGCTTATAATGTAATGTACGAGTTAATGTTTCTAGTGTAATAATGAGTTACTGCTTCTAATGTATGAGTTAAAATTATCAATATGATCGTTGAAACTCATCATGTCGACGTGATGAGTTCCGTGTTTTTTATTTTTTAATAATTATTATGAAAAAACATTAATTTTTTAATAGAACTCGTCGTGTCGACTTGATGAGTTTAAAGAAATGTAATAAAATATTGGATCCACTGTTTGGGTCCATTAAAATATAATTTCAGATGGAACTCATCAAATCAACGTGACAAGTTCAAGGACACCATAAAAGATGCCTTAATTCCCTAAATAAATTGTTTTGTGCCATTAAGGTATCGAGTCGAGCTTAAGTTCAAGTCGAGTCAACTCGAGTCGAGTCAACTCGAGTCGAGCTTTTATCAAATTCTAACCAAGTCAAGTTTGAGTTGCTCAACTCATTAAGCACCCCTATATACAAATACTAATTTAAAATTAATTCTATATGTTAGAATTTTGTAATAAAAAGGTGAAAACGTTAAGTAATTAAAAGTTCATGTATCATTTAATGAATATATTTTTATATTTTGGATAAATTACACACTTAGTCATTTTGTAATTATATTTTAGCTATACAACTATTTTTCTTGTGAATGTGTTTGGTCAGAATCGATGAGTATTAGTGATAAAAAAGGATCTGTTGAGATTAAGGTATTTTTCGATGAAATAAACATTTAATTTATGTTTAGGAGGTTAAGAAAAAATAAATGGAAAATTTTAGGGTCCAATGTCATAGATGTGGTGGTCAATGGCGACTGATGGTGAGCAACAATTGATGAGGAGAGATTTTGATCCATTTTAAGATTTAAATTGATATTTATCTAAATTTAAGAGTCAATTAAGTAAAGCTTAAGGTTTAAATTAATATTTTAAATAGAATTTAGTTTCAAATTTAAAATTAACCGTTTTTACTTCAAACTAACAACATTAAACATATTAGTGATTAAAATGTTATAAAATGATATTATAAGATTAAAACGTTAATTCTTTAAATTCGGGGAGAAAAATGAATACATACAAAATGAAAGTGACCATTACGATAGTTTTCCCATGGTTTATTTACCAATTTTTTTTTGGCTTGTGCCCGTTCTAAAAAAAACTAAAATGGAAGTCTGACCCTTCCATCGGAAATTTCCAAACCCACCCACTACCACTTCATCTTCCAGGTTCCAACTAACTGAAAGATCTACCCATTTTCATATGCCTGTTAAATTCTGCAATCCAATACTACTACTCAAAATATTGTTTTTTTACGAAAACATTTTTAATTGAATTCCGTCGAAGCTGTGATAGGGAAATAAATAAATATATTCGTACAATCGGTTTCTTCCTCTATGTCTCTTGTGTATTTGATTCTGATTTTGAACCTTTGGATCTTTAAACCATCTTCGTTGCAAACGGGATCCCGTGCTGTACTTCGTTGTTTCAAAATTTGAGCAGAGAACATTAAATTATGCCTCAGGGTTTTACAGTTTTGTAATGCTGTTGACCGTGGGAAAAAAATACTTCCTTTAATTAATTTTTTTTGAATTGCTTACTTGGTGAAAAGTTTAATCTGCATGAAATTAGCCTTTTATTCCGTTTTACTTATCCTTACGAGAATAGGTGTTTTTATTTGAGTTGATAGACAAAGAAAATGTCTTGTTCAAGTGTAGGAATGGAAATATTGAACCTTTATCAGTTTCACTTTCATATATTTGAATGCATTAGTTTCTATTTTGTCATTGTTTGCAGTTAAAAATTAGAGTGATGAGTGATGACCTTTTAGGCGAACTAGCTATAGTAAGAAAGCGGACACCTTGGATGAACATGAATAGAAGGATTTGACCATCCAAATTTTGGCAAAAGTTGAGAAAGATTGAACACTGCCTTGCTGACGTATACCAGCTTCCGATACTATTCCTAATGGAATGGTATTCTTGATAGATTCAAATTAAGTCTTCGGAGCTATGGACACATTTTCCTAGCTTAGCCTTTTTCGGTGTGATATTTTCTTTTCTTCCAAATGATCTCTGGGCTGTAGCATATTGTCAACTGTTTGATTGGAATAATTATATTTCGTGCTTTGTCTTATAAGCTAGGGATCCAGATTCTAACATTTTAGGCTTTGCCTTACAAGTTGAAGATAAAACGATGAGTTCTTTGACTTACGTTCCATTTGGATAAAAGATTACGTTCCATTTGGAGCACCTCTTTTTGACTTATTTTGGTTGAAAAAATGTGTCTTGTTAATTTTATTTTGGTTCCGTCTTTGTTTGGCAGCACAGATAAACACCAAACTTTGTGATAAGTTTTCTGTGGGTCACTATCCTATGCTGTTTTGGGGTCCTCGTACAAAGTTTTCTGCTGGCTGGAGCTCTGATCAACCAAAAAGTAAGTTGCGTGTAATCGATGATGGGCGGGCCGCACAACGATTGCTTAATTGGATCAATAAGCAAATAGGAAAGTATGAGGTATCTTCATCTGTTACATTTTTAATACGCAGCATCTTTATAATCCAATCAGTTCATTTTTGAATTTATGGATTTGTAAATTAAATTATGCGCGATTTACTGAAAGCGGCTATGCCTTTTTTATCAGATGTTCTTTTGTCCTTATAGTTTTAGGAATTGCCTGATAATCTATTTGTGAAAACATGTTAATTTAATAATCTTATACTGTGGAGGGAGACTTTTTGTTAGTTAATTTAATATAGACCTGATTTCAAATTTAATTCTGCATTTGGAATGCATCATATTGACATCATATATAGGAGGAGGATGCATTCTTCAAATTCAATTGCGGCTCATGCATATGTATGTATAACCATGTTGCCGTATTATTACAAAATCCTTGAAAAAGGCCGACTGAACAGTTTAATGCTTTGCCAGAAACAGAAGTTTTATTGTATGTCAACATGTGTATGAGTAGGAAGGGCAGCAAGACCAGTTCCTGTTTTGTTTGGTCTTTTTCACCCTACCTTGACTCAAGTCTGCACCTAATTTCTGGAAAAAAATAATTTATGGGAAAAATCCAAAATTAAAGTTGAACCTTTATACATTATCTAAATCATTGTGTTAGGCCTAGAAAACTGGGCTGGGGTACAGTATTGGAACTTTAGACATTTTTGAAGTACGCATGGCAGGATGGGGGGAGGTTTGGGGGTGTAATGAAATCTGTTTCTGTTCTGACATTGTAGTTACAAAAAATAGTGTTTGATTGATATTGTACTTCTAAGTTACTGCCAAATATTTGCACTTTCTATGAAATTTTGACCTTCAGCTTTTGTTCTCATTTGATTTCTGCTGCTTATACTCCCTTTCAGTTCATATGGCCTGGATGATGAAAATTTTGAAAACGAGCATCTTTCATCAAATATATCTGATCCTGGACAGGTTTCTTTGCGCATTTCCAATTTGAGTTCTTGAATAATGCATGTTTGAGATTTTGTCAATATGCTTAGGATTTTATCTTCATTGTTTTGGTAAATTTTTGAAAGATTGCTCGAGCTGTGTACGATGTGGAGGAGGCAACTGCAACTGCCTTTGACATCATTCTAGAACATAAGGTTGGAATTGCACTTTCTTGTGTAAATTTCTTCTATTTCTCACGTGTTTGTATGCATATAGGCTGGTCATTTTTTTTGTCGTACTAAAGTTGCTGGAGATGGTATCCTGCAGATGATTACGTCAGGAACTCGAGCTTCACTAATAAAATTCCTGCAGCTTTTAGTGGCTCATCACCCTTCGAGGAGGTAAAGATCCAACCTTTCAAGTATGTATCTTGACTTGGGTTTATGTTACAAAAATGCTAGTAACTTAATTAGCCTGCTGAAAAGAAGGAATTACTGCCTGAGGAAAAAAATAACTCCTAATGGCTAACTGATATGATCTTTCTTTTTTTTTTTTTTGAGATTAGACTAACTGATATGATCTTGAATGAAAAGAGAGGGGGCTTTTATTGAGCTTTGGTGAGCTCTTAACTGCCAAAATAACATATCATGATACCATTTACATCAATCTTATCCTAAAAAGGAGCATTTTATAGCTTCATCAGTTGAGTTTCAAAATAATTGCCCAAAAGCAATGCAACTAGGAATAATTTCTTTTCCAAGTAAAAGATCAAGAGTGATATGTAACACAGAGCATTTCATTTCTAGGAAGCATGTGGAAGGGAGTATTGGAAATAACTGACATGAGACAATGTATCTCTTTATACAATAACTACACAAAAACATTGTTCTAGATATTTCAATAACTGAATTTAAAGCAGCTTTGGTCAAGGCAAAGTTTCTAAACAACTCCGAAATTGATTAATGATGACCCAGTACATGAGGAAAAACAATTCTATCTCGTCTCCTACCTGGCATGAAGTGAATAGAAGCGATATCGGAGTGGCGGCAAGCTCTAATTAAGAAAGAGCATGATGTAGATAGAAGAAAATAAGTAGTGAAAGTTGAAGAACTGAAGCACATGCAAAAGAAAGAACTCTTTGAAAATTATAAGTTGAGTTTCTATTTTAGTGGTTGCTTTATGCCACATTTGGATGTTCTTTTTTGCTGATGTTTTGTCGTGGCAGCAGAAACGATGCCAGGGGCTTTAGGTATTGATTTGAACACCCCTTTAATTTTCAGCTCATGCAATTTTGAAGAACTCTTTGAACTTCTCCAATCTGAAGTTTTTCACCCTCTTTAGGCATTGTTTTTGGTATCAAATTATCTCACTACTCTATGAATCCACGAAGTACTGGCACTATTTCCATAGGGTATGGTCCGTCTGGACATGAGGGATAGCTGGGGTTGCAAGTAGAGGATTTTTACAGATTTTAGTGTAAATAGTACTGCTTATGTTCTATAATTCATGTTTACATTGTGACATACAGTGGTGAACATGATATGCTGATGCATTAAAAGAAGGGTTAGTTGCAAACCAATAATGTTACCAGGGGGTGCTGATTTGGTTTTTAGCTAATTGGCTCAAGATAAATTTCAAACTGTGCAATTATTTTAGCAAACTTACTTTACACTAGTTAATGTTATTTTCATATTTCAGCCATAGAACAAAAACTATAAATTAAGCCATTTGCAATGTATAATGTAAAAATATATTATTATTGTAGTAAAAAATTGTTTTACTCTCATCTGACTAGCTTTCTTCCATAGTTATTTGCTCCTCTGATTCTTTTTCAACAATTCTCAGCCTTGCATATTTTGTATGCAGTTGTGGCTTGTGGGTTTTAATGCATTCACTCTCTGTGAAGATCGAGGATGGAGAGAGCCAGTCTACATTTACATCTATATGTGATTTTATTCACAAGTTCTTTATTTGCGAGGAGTGCCGTCAACATTTTTATGAGGTGTGTTCAAGGTAAATTTGATTCCAAATTAGCAAGTTATTTCTTAAACATGTAAGTTAATTCCAACTAACTGCAAAAGTTCAATTTACAGTGTTAAAAGTCCATTCAAAACAGCTCGTGACTTTGCCCTTTGGTTGTGGAGCGCTCATAATGAAGTCAATCAGAGGCTAATGAAGGAAGAAGCATCTCTAAGACCCGGAGATCCTAAGTTCCCAAAGATTATTTGGCCTCCGAAACAGCTTTGCTCTTTGTGTCAACTTTCCCTAGATCCCAAGGATAAAGAAAGCAGTCAGATAGTGTGGAACCGGGACGAAGTGTTCAAGTTCTTAATTAGTTATTATGGAAATACGCTTGTATCTTTCTACAAAGAAAAGGGTCTTCTAGGTGAAGATGGAACCAAAGTTTTTGTGGATGATTCCTCGAATAGTGCAGTTGCGGTGCCAGTTGGGGCTGCATTGGCTATTGCTCTTGCCAGCTGTAAATTCGGAGCGCTTGCTTGCTCCTGGCGTTCTCAGCAGAAGAGTCGGAAGTATTTCCATCAACTACACTCTTTAAAGAACATATGATGGCTCTGAGGACGTAGATTCTTTCAAATACGATTATAAGCATTTGAGTGAAAAGAGAAACAGGGTGAAAGGGGGTGGGGGAGAGTTGTTGACAAGTTTTGATATTTAGGATGCAACTTTTTTATCTGATTTCCTTCCATCACTTTTCAGGCCAAGGAGAAGCTGGAGTTAAGATTACTAGAACAACAAAAAATCACACACAAATCCTTAAGATGTCCCGTCGGATGACTTCAAGCTCCGAGTAGAAATCCGGATTACAGCCTTATACCCGTCTCATTCGAGGTCCTAATTTTTTTATCAGTTTTCTACCTGAATTTTGGGTTCCTAGAGATTTAACATATTCCTAATTTTATTGTTTTCGATCGTCCCATTCTCTTTTGAAATGCTGTGTGAATACTTTATAACGAGTTCTGTGAATGTCTGATACAAGTCTGTCCAATTCCCAATCTCCATTTGATATTGTTCTTCGTATGATTAAAAGTGAAGAACTGTAGTAAGTTGATTGTGTGAATACTGTGAACCTCTTTTAATAGTTATTTAAGAACAACGGAGTAAGATAAAAAATATATATATATTCATTTGTATTGCTGCTGCTCTTTTATATACTGTACAATGTTTCACATACATAAGTAAATTCTTTTTATTTTTTTCCTATACACAACTGGGAACTTTCCCAAAGTCGTTCTATACAGTTCTTTCTAAAAACAACCGGCCAAACATGTTATAAAATACTGTCAAAATACTAGTAGGTAATAGACATTATGAGTTGATTCACAGAGAAACTCTCACCTCCTGCTGTTGGCGGTGACGGTGGTCAGTCACTGCTTTCACCATGACAAAAATCGGCAAGATAATCGCAATAGTCGGAAGCGATAACAACTGTACAATGAAAGACGATGCTAGTTTATAATTCCATTAGCCGATATCTTCAGAATAAAAGAAGAAAACTTACCACAAACAAGGAAGTGTATTCATTGGATCCGGTAAGTATGAAAGGAAGAGTATGTCGTAAAATCGAAAGAAGCATGAACTGCAGATGAAAAGAGCAATAAACCAGCAGGATGAATAACGCTAAAGTGTTTAAACTTTTTGAATCAGAAAATCTCATATATTCCAATGCATTGCACTAAAAATTAGGACATTGAACTTGATTTAGAGACTGAAAGTTACCACTATCGCAACTGTTCGATAACATATCGAGTTTCTCGTTGTCGAAATCGAATATTCATCGTAATGATGGTCTGTTGAAACTACTGCTATAAGGCGAGAATCGTTTTACTCCTAGGTGTTGCGGAAGACGGCTATCGGATAGAGTAAAATCGCAACTGATAATTTGAGAAAATAAAAATGAAGATAAAGAAGGCACAAAATTTACGTGGAAAACCCCTAAATAATATAGGGTAAAAACCACGGGCAACGGTAGAAGAATTTCACTATGAGAAAATAGGAATTACAACTTCTCTCAATCGACCAAGGAGAAAACAATGATAATTCTCTCTTGATAAAAAGGAGAAAACAACTCTCAAGAAACTCTCTAATATTCTCTCTAATATTGCAAGAAAGCTAGAATGCTTTGGGATGGTTTTGAAGCTAAATGAGCTCGGGTATTTATAGTTGAAACTTAAGGACTAATTTGTAAATACCCTAATTTACAATGACTAAAGTTTGTAATTTTACCCTTTCATTTTTTCAACAAAAAAACCTACCACTTTGACTATGTGCATTCGGTGGAATTATTTATTCCAAACTTTCGGTGCTTTGCTTCAATTTTCAACAATCTCCCACTTGAAGATTTGATTGGAACAATCATATCTTCACACTATTCTTTCTACATTGTACCATCATGTTACTTACGTTTCTGACAGGCCACAAGAGGATCGACACCAAGTAAATTTATCGGTATTGATCGCCTTAGTCATGAAATCTGCTATGTTGTCTTTGGTATGGATTTTCTGCATATCTACCGTTCCTTCTTCCACCTTTTCACGAATGAAATGATATTGAACTCGTATGTGTTTTGTCCTTGAATGAAATGTTGGATTCCTTGGTAGATGCAAGGCGCTTTGACTGTCACAAAATAGAGAGACATACTCTTGATTGTGCCCAAGCTCCTCTAATAGCATCTTCAACCAAATTGCTTCTTTACTGGCTTGTGTAGCTACTACATATTCTGTCTCTGTTGTAGACATAGCCACAACTGACTGTAATTTTGAAACCCAGCTTACAGCTCCACCAGCAACTTTGAATACATATCCTGTAGTAGATTTGCTTTTATCCAAAACCCCTGCATAGTCAGAATCTACATACCCATTGATTAGTAAGTTTGATCCTCCGTAACATAATGCAATATTTGAGGTCCCTTTGATGTATCTTAGGATCCTCTTTACAATATTCCAATGCTCTTTGCCTGGATTCGCCATGTACCCGACTAATCACTCCCACTGCTTGTGCAATGTCTGGTCTTGTGCATATCATAGCGAACATTAAACTTCCTACTGCTGATGCATACGGTACTCGAGACATCTCCATCCTCTCTTCTTCACTGCTAGGACTCATACTAGAGGATAATTTGAAGTTAATAGGAAGAGGGGTAGAAATTGGCTTACAATCTTTCATGCTAAATCGTGACAAGATTTTTCTTCAATTAATTCTTTTGTGAAAGCCAAATCTTCCTATTACTTCTGTCTCGGTGAATTTGCATCCCTAGAATCTTGTTTGCTGATCCCAAGTCCTTCATTTCAAATTCCCTAGCCAGTTGTGCCTTCAATTCTTCAATATGATCTTTGTTGGGTCCTGCAACCAACATGTCATCCACATACAACAGCAATATAACAAAATCGTTATCACCAGACCTCTTGAAATAAGCACAAGGGTCTGCATTAAGTCTGTTGTATCCAAGGCACATAATGAAGGAATCAAATCTCTTATACCAATACCTCGGCGCCTGCTTTAGACCGTACAGAGATTTGTTCAACCTGCAAACCAAGTTCTTCTTTTCGTCTTCTTCAAAACCTTCAGGCTGGAGCATATAAATCTCTTCTTCAAGATTTCCATGAAGAAAAGCTGTTTTAACATCTAGTTGTTCCAAATGTAAATTCAATGTAGTACACATTGCCAAGACTACTCGAACTGTTGTTAGTCGAACCACAAGAGAAAAAATTTCATTGAAATCAATACCTTCTTTCTGAGCATATCCTTTGACCACCAGTCTTACACGATACCTCTCCACTTGATCGTCACCATTTTGCTTGATTTTGAAAACCCATTTGTTACCAATTGGCTTCCTTCCTTGTGGTAGTGGCACAAGGTCCCATGTATTATTTTTATGAAGGGCTTCGATTTCTTCTTGCATCGCCATCATCCACAGTGAAGCATCTGAGCTGTTTATTGCCTCATGGTATGTTGATGGCTCACCGTCCTCTGTTAAAAGGCAGTATGCAATATTACCTTCTATAACATAATCCGAGTGCCAATTGGGACGTCTTCTCACACGATCTGATTGACGAGTTGTTGGAGCTTCAGAACTCTCTGGTACTTGTTCATCATGTGCTGGTTCTGCTTCAGAAGAATCTCCTTCTTTAAACTCTTTTTCCACATGTATCTGAGTAGTCTCTGACTTTTCAGCGCTATCATCGTCTTCTTTTCTTTGTAGTTTATCTTCTACAAATATAACATCCCTGCTAATGATCACTTTGCAGGCAGTGGGATCCCACAAGTGATACCCCTTTACTCCATCAGCATACCCCAAGAATTTGTATTTCCTGGATTTTGGATCTATCTTTGAAATTTCTTGGGCGTTGTACATCACGTACACAATACTTCCAAATACATGGAGGTTTGAATAATCAACTGGTTTACCAGTCTACATCTCCATTGGTGTCTTCAGCTCTATTGCAGTTGATGGAGCTCGATTCACCAAATAACAGGCGGTATTGACTGCTTCTGCCCAGAATGATTTTTCTAGGCCTTCGTCCCTCAACATTGCTCTTGTTCTTTCTAACAAGGTTCTGTTCATCCGCTCTGCCACTTCATTTAGTTGAAGAGTGTTAGCCACTGTGAACTGTCTTTTGATGCCTTCTTTCTTGCAAAAGTCATCAAATTCTTCGCTTGTGTATTCTCCTCCATTAATTGTTCTGAAACACTTGATCTTATTTCCAGAATCAAGTTTCACCCGCGCTTTGAAGTTTTTGAAAGTTGAAAACACGTCTGACTTCTTCTTTATAGGGTGCACCCAACATCTCCTGAAGTAGTCATCAATAAATGAGACAAAGTATTTTGCTCCACCTAGGGACGTTACTGGTGCTTTCCATACGTCAGAGTGAACCAATTCTAGAACACTTTTGCCTCTAGAATTTGATGTGTTGAATTTCAACCGGTGTTGCTTACTTGTTATGCAATGCTCACACAAAGGAAGTGATACCTTTGTTAAGCCTGGAAGTAGCTTTTGCTCCACAAGGACTTTCATTCCTTGTTCTGACATGTGTCCAAGTTTCTGATGCCATAGCATTGCCGAATCTGAACTACATGAGGCAACAGAGGCTTTTGCTTCTACCAAAGTCTCTCCCTTCAGCATGTACAAGTTTGCAACTATTTTTTCGCCTTTCAGTACCACAAGCGCTCCACGGAACACTTTCATGATTCCTTTCCGTGTTTCAATCTTGCTTGCATTATTATCCAACAATCCATAGGATAATAAATTTTTCTTCAGGACTTTCACGTGCCGCACATCTCGAACAACTTTAATTGTTCCGTCATACATCTTCAATTTGATGGTTCCCACGCCAACGATCTCTAAGGCATGATCATTGCAACTATAAACAGATCCTCCTGAGACAGGTTCATAATGATGGAACCATTCTCTTCTTGAGGTCATGTGATATATTGCTCCCGAATCAATGAGCCATATATCTGCAAATCGTTTTCTTCCTTCCACGGTGGTTGACCCTTCACAGCATAGAGCATCTCCATCATCTGAAGTGTTTGCGGTATTGCCTTGTGGATTGGAGTTTTTATTTAGACTCCAACAATCCTTCTTCAGATGACCCTTCTTTCCACAGTTGTAACACTTTAAATTCTTCTTGCTCCTCGACTTCGATCTACCATGTTTGTGACTGCTGCTTTGGCCATGTTCTGTTGATCTCCCTCTCATCGTTGTCATCGTTGTCAATGCTTCTGCTTGTTGCAGATTTACTTGTCTGTCTTCCTTGTTCTTGCGCCGATTTTCTTCTTGTAGAACAGCAGCTGCAACGTCATCGAAGACTAGACTGGTGACATTACTGTTTGTCAAGTTGATGATGAGTTGATCATACGAATCAGGTAGACTTTGAA